GAATGAACTCCCATCTTAATCTGATGATTCTTTTAAAATAAATCTATAAGACTTATTTGTTCACTGAACTTCAGGGTACAATGCGCCTTTGATCATTTTTTGATGTTTGATTGATTGATTGATTGATTGACATCAAAGAGTCTCACAGAGCACAGCAGTCTAAAATGAAGAGTACTAACATAACACTCCCGGAGGAACCAACTTACTTACTTGGTCGTTAGGCCATCCATTCCTTGGGTAGGGCCCTCAGTCTTTCTCTGCTAGAAGCAACACTGGATGCTGTCACATCATTCAAGTTTGTTCCACTTTGAGTTCAATCGGTTGATGAAAGCTGTTTTCCCACTTCGGTTCTTTTCTGCTTACAAAAAATTTCATTTAATGACCTCTGAGACCCTTCCTTGAAGGTTGCGGAAAACATAAATCAGAAGAAGTTTTGTATTTGTTGTATATCTTATACAATAATTATATAATTCCAAAATATATATCTCCTTCCTCCTGTCCGCCAAGGGATGATATCCTTTGAATATAATCTACAGTGACGTTGTAACCGAACTCAACAACGAAACTAAATGGAGAGTTTCATTCTAAATTTGAGGGACTGTGGCAAGCGAAAGTCACAGTCGAGAATGTTCAATCCCGAGCACCATTGTCTACACTTCGGAGATTTAGACACTTAAAGCCAGGAATAACATTGAAAGTTGTACAAGTTGTAAGACACAAACAGTGTGTTGTGATATAAACTGAAAACGTTTATGAAAAGCTCTGGAACCGTTAATGAGATAATGTCAAATGTCAGTGGAATAAAAAAAATGTTAAAATAAAAATAACAACGGACAATGGCTGACTTTGATGACAACAATAACAAAACAATTAAAAGCACACATAGGATTTTAAATAATCTATGACGTGCCGCATGTGGCCAGCACTTTTCCCACATGCAACGCATGCCATTGATCGTGATACAATACTCTAAATACTGATTTGCAACACTTTCAGTGGAGCTTTTTGTTTCATCAGTGAAGTAATAACATTTTAAACTTTTAATAGGCCTTAAAACATTTACATAAACAAACACCACTGCTATTCAGTATAGCTGTAGCGGAGAAGTATCTTAAAAATAATGTTTACATGCCCTTTCTTGTACTTTTGTTCAACATGTTAAGCTTGTTCCTTAAAAAAACAGAGCTACACTAAACTTTATAGAATGTTGTAGTAACTGGACACTTTCAATGTCTGCTCTTCGTGATACAATTTCGCTGAAGGTAGGCATAATAGTAGGCTAGGCGTAAAACGTGCCGGTGGTGTAAACTAGTTTTACATAACTAAGTGATGCGTTGGCACGGTGACCATGTAATGTAACCAGCGCAATAGGATTCAAACCAAACATAAAATATTCCTATTCTGCTGACAAGTGTTTATTACCTTCGCCACTGCAAATTATGTATTCACCGCCCTCTGTTTGTCGAGCTGTTTGTCTGTTACCAAAATTACGCAACAAATAAGAATTTAGTGGAATTTTACATAATAATCTAAGAAATAGTCTTATTAGCTTTTGGGAACATAAGGCCAAATGGCAAGTTCAAGGTCACAGAAATTCGAATTTTTTTTCCCCCTATGAACTTACCCAGAGTATAAAAGAAAATAATGGAATCGTCCATACACCTTCTGCGTATTGTTCAGTATCCAGAAACAGGGCGGAGGTGTGCACATTATGGAGTGACTGCTCGAGTATTAGTTTCTCAATGTTTAAAAGATTTGGGTCTTTTAAATGCTATTAACCTTTCATAATAAAATGTTTTTGTCCTGACTGCATATTAGGGAGCTTTCGATTACACGACGGCGGTAGGACGTAGAACGTAATGACGTCACTAAAAGTCATCTCCGCATGCAAAAACGTTATGGTCACGTCGTCGAGTAGATTCTGAAGCGCAATTTGGCCAAGTCTACGTACGAGAACGTATGACGCCAGTTAGGACGGTCACGCATGAGTGATTCCGTTGTAGCGTCGGGTCGTCGCACAAATCGAAAGCTCCCTATTATATTATTATAAAACGTCATCCAAGCATCGATATCAATATTTGTTAATGATCGATGCTTGGATGACGTTTTATAATGCTTAGTTTGCTGTAAATCGGTCTACCCTAAATAAACAAGAGGGAGAGAGAAACCGTTAACATAACGTGATCATTGTAAAAATAATTGAAATTAATTCAGTAATATGAAACGAAAACGTTATTTTTTTTTTATCTAGAGGGCTCTAATACAATACTATTGTGTATTGTGGAAATATGTTTTTGTTTATACCATCATGAGTGTAAACACTTTAGGTCACAAAGACTTTAAGTGTATTTGGGCTATTGTAAAGTAAATAGTACAGTATTGGGTTGTGATGGGGTATTGAGAGCACTGACATTATATGTGGAGTATACAAGCAAACTGTGGAGAAAGTGTTGAGTGTAGAAAGTAAGAAGTAATGAGGAGTTTTGAGCTGTGGGTAGAATCTGTTATTATCTGTGACATATTGTTACGGTATTTATTCAAATAAATGCCCCGGGGCGTTTACTGTTGAGAACGGTTTTCGAGGGGCCTTTATTCGAGGGAGGCGTTTATTATTTTTTTAGTGTAAAATCAATACTGTACGTATACATAACACAATAATTAGCGTCAAATGTGTTTTGCGTGATCTTTAATTTAAAAAATGTAATCTAAGTAGAACAATAATAGAATGTGTTGAGCACACATGGTGTTGCTACCATTGGGTTTGTTTACAGTCATTTTGGGGGTATATATTCGAGGAAAAATAAACGGCACGTGGCGATCATTCGAGGGAGGCGTTTATTCCAAATGATCCTCTCGAGGGGGCGTTCATTCAAGGGGACGGTTATTCAGAGCTGGGCCTTTATTCTAAATTAATTAAACCTTAACAGAGATGCTTTAACAAAATGGCAGCTCCAGAGCACAGTCATTTTGTTTTTCTAAGTGCATTTGGAAGAAAATAAATGCTTTGTTGAATTGAATTTAATCACGTCACTTGTTAACGAGAGCGCAAATTTCATTGAAAATATTATTTGTTCAAACCTGAAACCATGTGGGAGATGTATAAAACTTAGGTCAACAAATCTCAAAGTTGTATGCAAAATCTATATGCGCGACCCAATTGCGTATTTATTAAAGCTTGTAATAATATACACTACCGCCATGATGAATCCGATTTATCCCATACGTCTGTAGCTACAGAAAGCCGATAAAATAGGCCTATTATTGACAATTGAAAGGTGTTTAGCGAAGACGGTCATAAGTAAACCCTCTCTTGTAAAACCACAAACGACTATAATACTCGCGAAAAGGCCCGGCCTTCCAGTCAAATATCACCTACACCATCGCATAAACTAGGTAAAAATAAATCCATAGTTCAATTATAATTGATAGGAATTCGTGGACTTTCTATATAATACCGGTTGAGAGAAATTGTTTACTATTGCAGATTCCTTTTATTTACCGTTACCAATATTTACATAGGGTATATGCATACATTACCGCAAGAGGATTTAGAGTTATATATATATATATACATACCGTATTTGCAGTCTGACATTTTCAATATATATAAAGTAATCCAACTGGACTCCCAACCTTGAGGTCAGGGGTTCGGACTCTCACTGTGCAAGTCGCTTGGGCAAGTCCTTGGGCAAAGCACTTTATCTACGTTTGTCTCTCTCTACCCAGGAGTATAAATGGGTACCCAGTGGTTTACTCCTGGGAAGGAAAAAAAGGCGGCGTGGAAAGGAACTGGCCACCCTACCACACAATACCGAGGCTTAGTACAATGGGCTCACAGCTCATTCACCTACGTTCAGTAATGAAAATCCAACTATAAATTTAATGCAAGTATCTGATGAATGTAAATTATTAATACAAATTATTTTACCTATTGACGCCTTTTTTAGACTCAAAACAAGTTTTTAATAAACCACTCTGTATTTATAACCATTTTGGTCGTTGTTATTGCTGTTGTACTAATAATTATGCAGGGCTTTTGTAACATAACTGACTCGTGTATTTCGAATATCAGTTTTTGTCGAACACAAAAAAACGTTTAGTAAATTCGAGTAATCTTTAACAACAACTGAGGGCGTCATCAAAAATGAGTTCGGAGCGTAGTAAACCATGATACGCCAATTTTATCAATTTTATAACTCTCAAAGTGTCCGATGTGTGTAACTCATACATGCCAGCAACTGAGTAAATAAAAAATTAGATGGATGAGTTTCATCATAGATTGTAAGTAATTTGACGCTACGCGCTAACTGAGGGCGGGAGGCCAAGCCGGGGAAAGGTTTGGGAGAGGGGTGACCACTCTCTCATGGGGTGTGTCCCTTCTCATTAGGTTGGGGTCTGGAAATGATTCCTGATGATGACATAATTAATGTCGAAATATTGAATCCCAACACGATGGGGTGTATTTCAATACTTGGAGTATGTATTATACTTTCTTTTACTTCGTTACATAAATCACATATTGCAGCAGTTTAAAAATTAAATTCTGCTAATTTTCTCTCTTCTATATCTATATTTTTTACTTTAGTCTGACAGATATACTTCCAGTCTATCTCATTTTCTAAATCAAACCTTTGTTCCCATTTTGATTGTGATATGGGTTTTACTCCGACGATGTTTCTCAATATATCGGAACATGTTTTAGAGGACAGATTATTTATCATAATGTTTTCTCTTTTTTTTTAGCATTAAACATAGTAATCAATTCCTCCCCATTTGGTTCTATATCCTCAGTTTCATTATGTTTAGTTTCCATGATAGTAATCCACTGTTTTGGTATAAATTGCTTAATTAAGATTAATTAATTAATTGTGACATATCCAATTGTTATTTATTTTTTTATTTTCTAATAGGGCTGTTTTGAGGGTTAACATTACATCCTTACAGAAGTCTGATGTAGATTATACCTCCGCTAACCCATTCTTTAAGATACAGTGATTTACCTTTGTTTGTTATGTTCATATTTCCGCAGATGACATGGTCTCCTATTTCCCTTTTATTCTTAGGCACATCAGGTTTTTCCTCCCCGTATACGATTCCATGCTTCGATAGTTTCCTTATAAAATTGTGGTAGTTTTTCATGTACTCATTCTTAACATTTTCAAGTGTCATTCGGTAGACTAGATTCTTACCATATTTATTAAATTAACAGAATGGAATTGTTCCATTGTCTGAGCTTCCATTAAGCAAACGTTTTACTCAGAAATTACGGAGACTATTTCGTTGTATTCTAAAGTTTGGTGCTTTTATTCCTCCTTCCTCAATGTCTAATACCATAGTTTATCGTTTATTTTTTTTCCTATCCCATATAAACTCAAATATATATATATTTTTTGTAAATGCTTATGTACATGCTCTGGTATATTAACAATACCGGCTGTGTACACAAGATTTGATAAAGCAAATGATTTAAGTATAAGTGTTTTCCGAAATATGTTAACTTCCATTTTTCCACCTGTCCAGAACGATTTTTAGTTTCTATTTTCTCAGACCAGTTTCTTTCAACACACATTTTGTAGTCATGCCCACTATAAACACCTAGTATTTTTATTGTACAATTTGGCCATTTAATGCCACCTGGCTTTTCCGTCTTACATTTAGACGCTCATTATTCATAAACCTTCACAATTTTCTTTGTTTATTTCAAGACCATAAACTCCACAAAAAATATTCAATGCTTTGTTCATCCTTCAGAAAGAGGGTTGTGTCATCTGCCATTTGACATTTCTTTAATTCTTGGTTAGTTTCAGGTAGTTTTAGTTTTTTTCTCTCTTTCCTTTATTGCTACAGTTAAAATAGTGGGGTTGTTTGTGCCTTGGATGGTAGCGCCGCTCTTATTGTCGTAAATAACATTGGCAGAAATCTGAAAGTAAGATGTATTGATTTCAATGGCCTCATAAAATAATTGAATTAACATGATCACCATTACTATCGCTGCCATCATCTTTCTTTTTATCATCACACTGGCAACATCATCTGGATTGAAATTATAGTTGTAATTTATCATTCTTAACATTATTCTCATCACCAACTACGCCAATGACCTTTTTTGTCGACACCATAATACCATTCATCATCACAATCACATATAATCATCGTTGTGATTTTACCACCACAGTAATCGCCATAATGACCATCATCTTCGACATTCGTGGTTTACCACTCCCAATACTGCCGCCTTGATCACCATCACAATTTTTATTATCACCGTCAATACACACGACCACATTTCCAAGAGTTAGAAATCGTTTAAATTGAAATACCGTAAAACTTTGTTTGAACCCCTGAGTCACTATTCCTTTTTTTTTATATGGGTCACCAATACAGTATCGGGTCACTATATTGAGCATACGTTTGGTCTAACCATTGGAAATTGGTAAATGCAATAGACCCTACTGTAGTGAAAGATTGTCGACTTAATATTAGCCTATAAAGTTTTGGCATCCCAAATCCAAACCCCAATGTGTCCATATTAGAGTAGTGGTTCATTATTATTGATTACTTAGGGTGTTTACTGCTTGAGAAATGGTCACAATAGAGTGCAGTAATGTGTGGTTCAATCAGAAGTTTTACGGTAACATTAGCTGAACGTTTTAATTAAGCTACACTTACCTGTTGTGCATTCATGCCCTGTAAAACAATTAAAATAATAAAATAAAATAGCCTCATTTTATGATGTATTTTAGAATGATGTCTCTAGTACAGTGGTGTAGGAGTCTTGAAATGTGGGGAGGAATGAAGGTGGAGATGGGGAGGGGGCCCGATGATTAAGAGAGGGGGAAATAGGTCGCAAAATAAGGTGAGGTGATTTTTATCCACTTAATTTAAGCGTGATTTTTTGCTTCAGAAATTTTCAATGGGGGCGACTGGCGGAGGCGAGCATTTTTGAGAGGGCGTGCGGCCCCTCCCCTTCCCCAACCACTAGATACGCTACTACTCTGGTTATAATTCCCCTATTTAGCAGTATGTGCGGAGTGTAAGGCCTAAACATAACTATTATCATCACCATCTTAATGATCAGCTCGAACTACAGATATTTCTGTACTACCACCATAAACAAAATCATAACCTTGAATACCATCATCACTACCATCATAGAACAACAACACTACCATCATCATCGTCACCATCATTACCATCAATACCACCTCCATCAGCATCATCGTTATCAGCATTATCGTCAATAACATTGTCGTCGTGGTCATCATCATCATCATCGTCAGTCGTCGTGTATTCATTTATATATTTATTCTCATTCATCATCATCGTCACAAATGCATAGACGTACCACCACAATCATCATAATAATAGTTGTGATATGATCACTGGTGTCTATTTTAACTATAAAAAAAAATAAATACACATATAAAAATAATGTGTTTTACAGCCGAAAACAGGCCGCACGTGGATACAATATAGCCTATTGAAGCTAACAATATAACAAAGAGATCACATATACCGGTAACAGGAAATCATCATCAATATTATATTGAAAGTGTAGGCATTCTTGTGTACTACTATTAAAATTTGCTGATACAGTATTAAGTCACCGACAATAGGCTAAACGTTTTTATTTTAGTCATCTTACTAAAATCGAGGCGATATGAATATGGAAAATAAACACTCACTCCTTTATCCAAACCAGTGTAGGTGTTGTCCACCTGAAAATTAATTATCATTTATTGATTAATCATTATCCAATTAGTAATATTGCTCACAATTTAATGAAAGATTTGCTGATTTTACTGAACTAAACTTCATTATTATAAACTTATTAAAACTAATACAATTCAGTGTTTAGGTTTTGTTCGGTAAGTTTTCAGCCAAACAAGAAAATATATTCTTGGTCAATCATCATCAACATTATATTATTAAAAGTGTAGGCATTCTTGTGTACTGCTATTAAAATTTGCTGATACAGTATTAAGTCACCGACAATAGGCTAAACGTTTTTATTTTAGTCATCTTACTAAAATCGAGGCGATATGAATATGGAAAATAAACACTCACTCCTTTATCCAAACCAGTGTAGGTGTTGTCCACCTGAAAATTAAGTATCAATTATTGATTAATCATTATCCAATTAGTAATATTGCTCACAATTTAATGAAAGATTTGCTGATTTTACTGAACTAAACTTCATTATTATAAACTTATTAAAACTAATTCAATTCAGTGTTTAGGTTTTGTTCGGTAAGTTTTCAGCCAAACAAGAAAATATATTCTTGGTCAATCATCATCAACATTATATTAAAAATGTAGGCATTCTTGTGTACTGCTATTAAAATTTGCTGATACAGTATTAAGTCACCGACAATAGGCTAAACGTTTTTATTTTAGTCATCTTACTAAAATCGTGGCGAAATGAATATGGAAAATAAACACTCACTCCTTTATCCAAACCAGTGTAGGTGTTGTCCACCTGAAAATTAATTATCAATTATTGATTAATCATTATACCAATTAGTAATTTTCCTCACAATATTGATTGCAATTAATGAGAGATTTGCTGATTTTACTGAACTAAACTTCATTATTATAAACTTATTAGAACTAATACAATTCAGTGTTTAGGTTTTGTTCGGTATGTTTTCTGCCAAACAAGAAAATATATTCTTGGTCAATTGATTATGTATAAATAATAATTATCATTCCTATATTCTTTTATAATAATAATAATAATAATAATAATAATAATAATAAAATTATTTATATAGCGCTTTTCCAAAAATGATCGAAGGGCTGAACAGTATAAAGTTATGTACAATTAAAATACCTTAGGAAATAAAGTGTTATTGTTTTACTTTTAAACAACCTTGTATGCCTTTTTAAAAAAAATATTTGAAACATACATTGGTACAATATTAAGTAATTTTTTTGTTCACAAAATAATGATATCTTTATTTCAACAGGCAGTATATGGGCGATTCTATTATTTTCTTTTTGCTAGAGGGTACTCAAGGGGGAAAATCGAATTTCCATGGCCTTGGCCTTTGGTCTTTTCTTTTCTTAGATTACAATGTATCATTCCAATAAATGTTATTATGACATTATGACCCATTCCTTAGGTTTGGCGCAATCTTGCTACAAGACAGACAGACTGACAGGGGCGAATACGTAAGTTCCTTGGGTAAGGTCACAATATCTTTTAACAGCCAAAGCAAATAATCAAAGAAAAAGACAGACAAACAACACGACAAACAGTGGTGAATAAATATAACCTTGGCGAAAGTATAATATAACGAACAAATCAAGTAACTGTTTACAAACCAAATAACACAAGACAAAAAAATATAGTATACTTACCGGTCTTAGGATCGTGGTATCTTGATGATCTACATTCTTTGTTCTTTTTTTCTACAATGTATATTATGAATAAATCAAATTACGTCATTTATCATCTCATATCATAAGTCTATCATAATAGGCTGAACCTAATCTTCGAAAATACACAATGTCAAATCAATACAATACTAAAAACAGACACTGATCATTTTTTTGTTCTACTTGACACAACTATATGCGATGTCCTAGGTTTGTATATATACATGCACACTCAGGGTGATTCCCAGTGCCCTTCAGTCGCAAAATGCATATTGTGAGATTGATTTTACGCACTGCAACAGCAGGCAATCACAGAATATCAGGATAGGCCTAGGCCACTAGCACTTATTAACATTTTTACACCTACCACGTCTCGCATTCGGCGTGAGACACTAACGCATTTGGGGGTCTGTCTTCCGCTTAAGGACCAAAATCTCACTCATAAATGTAATGCCTATATTATAAAATATACCGTATGCATACTATTTGTGACATTTTTTTACCGAAGCTCTCCATCGACAGTACTTAAAATATCATGGTAACATTATGTATGTCAACTAGCTCCACTAGCACTGTAGATGTAGTTTCTTTTCAATCGATAACATTTGAAACAATTTGTGTGGAAACCTGAAATGCATGTATTCTCAAGTAAAGGGGGGAAATTCAGATCCTAAATGCATTTTCGAACACTTATGAACTAAAATTTCCAGGGGCGGGAGGGGAACAATCCACACACCCCATAGGGCCGGAATTCTCTAGAGTCTCACGCCTGCAAATTTGTTTAACTTGGAATCTCTGCATTTTCAACATATATAACGTCACCACAAAACTACTTACGAAGTGCACGATGAGTGCGATGACAATAGCCGCACCAACCACGACAATAATAACACTAGCCGCAATGATGCCAATCTTCACATGATCGTTCTCGTCTTTTGGTGTATCCTCCGGTTTAATTACTCGTGGTTCCTGAACACTTCCTTTAATGACAGGAATGCTTTGGTTGGCATATACGAATTCCACATTCCCAGAATCAAGCTGAAATTATGTTTATGTATTATTGTAGAACATAATCAAATTTATATCCCTGCTGTTTTTGTAAAGTACATGTTTATGATTTCTATTGTACTGTCTTTTAAATGTGTGTCACCGTTGGACTATGTGTTCTGTGTTCTGTTCATTTTAGCTTGGTTACATTAAAATCGCTACACTGTCGCTACAGTGTTTTTTAACGGAATCGTTGTACTCTATAGCAGTCCGGTCTCCGGCGTAATGTGAAAGGCTCTCCGATTCGAGACGACCAATCAGCATCATCGAAAGCGTTGCATCCTTAGTGGAATCGCGTCGATCGACTTCGCAGTGTTTGTGCTTGTGTGTTTTCAGGACCTCTATTGAGTTAAATATTACGCCTACCTGGTAATGTAAGTTAATCAACAATGCAATATAATAATAAATACGTGTGATTTAGAAAAGTGGATCTTAAGAAGCTTTTTGAAATAGAAAAGGTTTGGGCAATTGTTGAATTGCCTTGGATATACTAGTATGCCTAAAATCCTAAAATACGTATGTATGGTGTATGATCGTTACCTCTTCGACCATTTGGTCAGCCACTGCCTCAGCATCAATGTTATCATCATCGACAAGTTTAAACTCAACAATAACACTGCCCCTACGTAACTACAGAATGCAAAGATAAGATCGTATCCATTATCGTTTCATAAACGGCAGTATTTTCAAATTTACTTTTTCAAATAAATAACATTATAAAAGTGTGTAATGTTTAATGGTTTTACCTTTTAATAGTACCAAATTCTGAAATACATTATGTACACCTTATAATTTTGCGCTAATTTAAATATATTATTGCGTAACGCTTGGTTCCCATACAATTGCTACACAGTCACTACAGCGTTTTCACTGCAGCAATCCTTGCTCCCTGATTCCCTGATTCAACTGACCAATCAGCGTCGCCCAAGGAGACGGCAATAGCGTGTAGCGATTGTATGGAAACCAGGCTTTATGCACAAGTGTTTAAACAAGGAAGGACATCTCCGCTCTCGAACATAGCGCATGCGTACAATCCTTTGATCTTTACTGTGGCATCGACAATCCGATACTAGCTGCGTGTACAGCCGTCAATTATTAGTCTAAGCGTGCCATACTTTTTATGGTGTTAGTTACTATTTTATTAATTTTGGGTACTTCGCAATGTCTGTTACATCTGATTTCTTTTGACCACGAGCTTGTTAAATGCTTCTATAAAATACAATTTAATTCATAAAAATTGACCTACAAAATGAGAAGTCGCAATTGAAATTTTACGATTTTTGTAAAATCTCATGTTCTTACATAACATTAAAATCTCATTTTGACAATGTTGGACTAAGGTGCACAAAACAAAAAATTTTAGTAGATACAGAAATATCATTTAGTTATTCTGCCAAGTGAATCTCATGAACCACCGGACACCACCTCATCTGTAAAATTAATGTTGAAATAATGAATATAATTTCAGTCTAATGTTAGTGCAAAGTATCCACCACACGACGCTCGATTATCATGGCAACTAACACGCGCCTGGGTAATTCGTCACTGGCTGACGCTTAATAAGGCCTAGTTCAGATTAGGTGGATAAACCCGGCTCAACTCACCGGGTTTATCCACCTGCCAGTCTGAACTAGGTGGCTTATCTCAAGCCGGGCTGTGTTCCTATAGGCTAGTAACTAGGCCTGGCGTGCAACCGTGTTGCGGGGGGTCTTGCATTGACTTCGGGTGACGAAATGACCAATCAGCATTCAATTACGTACGCTGTGAGCGAGCGTACGTTTCGCGAGCAATGTTTTGAAACACGTTTCCTGGTTACGGTTTATTATTATGCAAATCTGAACTCACTAGTCTGAACGCCCGGCAAAGTTAAGCCGGTCTTAGCGTTGAGCCGGGCTTAACTCAAGCCTGGCTTATCTCCAAGTCTGAACGTAGCCTCATAATTGGCCTGCTATGGATTTTGTGACAATCAGCGTGTAGGGGCGCGCGGCGCGTAGGATGTCGATGCCAGAGATACATCCTTTGAAGTCCCGAGGTGTGCGTCCTTATGTTGAATTGCCATGTTGTTTAAACATGGTTTAACCATGGAGGTATTATAATACCTTCATGGTTTAACAATTAACCATTAGATTGGAAAATCTAAAGCGTAAAAAACGGGGTTCTCACTCTATACCAACATCCAAATACCAATATGGAGGTACACTCTTGTCGCTGACCGGTAATCTCAAAATGGACCTTTTCAGAGTGCCAATCAAACTTAATAGCCAATTAGAACAGGGCCAATGATATGCGCATGTCCCACAGAACAAGTGTTTACGTAAGCCGATATAATTTGTTGGACCTTCGAAACATGCAAAGAGCGGGGCTTGAACGGTCAATTGAGTATATCGTCCGCATTTTTAAAACTAACTATAGCCGAACTTCGAACTTGTCGTAGTCGTAGTGCTAGTCGAAGTTCGTTTTAAGAATACGAATGACGTAATTTTTAAGTTTTAGCTCGAACTACAACTAAAGTTTGTTTTAAGAATATCAGGGTATGTCATCTCCGATCCACAGAGAAGTTGAGATCACGAATAAAAACAACACAGTTGGAGCAGAAACCTAGTTTATACTATTATCTTACCTGTACGTCTTTGATATTTTCTTTAGGGACTCGAAATTTTGATGCCAACGTGTTTTTAATCTCACTGTAAATAATAAAATAAGATGTATTTAAATGCATGCCTGAACGACCAAACATGTTTGACGATGAATGGCGACACGTTAGAGGCGATTTACAATTAGTGGAATATGGGGGTGACGTCTTGATAAAGTCATCATTGAAAATGCACCTACTTTTTAAATTCTTCTTGGTTGTTCTCGATACGATCGAAATCCAAATCTAAACTGAAACCCAACTGAAGAATAGTGCTGTTCGTAGAAATTAATAATAAAAAAAAAGTTAAAACATTTTAAATAGTTTAAATGATTGAGGTACATATATACATACATACAAACCATACATGCATACATACATGTGGTACTTGCATTCATGCATTTCATATTTCCCATCGAATATGTTCATGCCGAGGCTGGTGTGCCGAAGTTTGCATGTGTTCGTGATTCGGATTTCACAAGATTACAGTCTCGACCCTACCCCACGACACGCAATGAGACCCACTTCAAAATAATGTAGGTAAAGCGACTAAGCAAGTCTTTGGCCATTAACATCGGAACGATGATTGGTTAGACAACTGTACTGTTGTATTTAGATTGGCTTGGAGCATTCTGGTGCTTTTTCCCTTCTCCTGTTGCAGAAAGTAATGTAGGTGGCGGATGAGGTTTACGTGCATTATAAAGGTCATGACGGCAGGCACACCGATTTTGTGTGAGTTTTTCCCATAATGCTGATAGGATGTCACGTGAAAGAAGATCTCGTTTAAGTACATTTTTGTATCGCAGTTTTTGCGTCCTCGAGGTCGTTCTGCACATACTAGCTCGCCGTAGAGGATGTTTTTTTTTGGGTTTTTTTTTTTTTGGGAGCCTAATATGATATTTTCTGCAAACATGTCCAGTCCATCTGAGGCAACGTGCTCTTTAGCATAGTGACATTGTCAGTTGCGCCGGTCATATCCAAGATTTTAGTATTTGGTATTTTCTCTTCCAAGTTACTTGGAAGACAACGAAAGTGAAAACAATTAAGGCAATGCTCCAGCTTGCGATGGGTAGCCCATTTTTCACTGCAGTAAAGGAGAATGTTCAGGACACATAGAGTATAAATCCTGACTTTGAAATTAAATCAAGGTTTCTATTTTTCCACACTTTGTTGCAAAGCTTTCCAAATGTTGTTTTGCTTTACCTATGCGGTGACTTATCTCGAAGTCTAGGGAGTTGTTGTTTGTTACTGTGGAACCAAAATAAGTAAACTTATCGCCAACTTCAAATAGAGTGCCATATTATTATATTGGGTGAACGTGAAGAAGAATTCCATTTTCAACACCTGTGGTTTTACGGAACTTTTCTGAACGACGTCTTTGATATTGGACTGTTGCCTGCATATCTTGGTGAAAGGCTGTAATTATAGAGAAGAGAGTTTCACGACAGCCAAATTTCTGGAGAATTGCTTAAATACCGGTCCGGTTTACACTGTCAAAGTGCCTCTGAGGTCAATGAAGATAACGTACAGGGGATGATGTTGCTCAACGGCCATGCCTTGCGTCTGAATCTAAAACAGAACACCATATCTGCAGTAGATCGAGAAGAACGAATGCCACATTGACTCTCTGGGAGAACACGAACGGCTAAGACTTGGAGACGTGGTAACAGTACTTTGGCAAAAATCTTACCTGCAATACTGAGTAATGAAATTCCTCTGTAGCTTTCCCCGTCAAGTCTACTGCCTTCGTTCTTATAAAGCTGATAATGTTAGGCGTAACTTTATGATATTAAATAAACATGAATTATAGCAGAAATGAGCATTAAAAAATCGTACTAAAAACTTACTTATCTGGACATGCTTTTTCTGTACAAGCCCACGTTCCATCTTTCAAACAGACACTAATGTTGGAAATTAAATATATGTTTGTAACTAAATATGCTTGGAATTATGATTCAGAACATTAGATAATCAAATTAGGAATATTTAAAATTGTGTGTAATTGAAGAAATCACACTGAAAAATGAAGAAGGCCTACAAAATAATTTAATATCAAGTATACAGGTATACTATTAGCATGTTTAGAGGGTTTTCAAAATCACAACGTAGGGCGGAACGATATCAATTTGGTTCCACCTACTCTGATTATGTATACATTTATTCTTAAGTTGTGGACATGAAGCTGAACATTAAAAAGTAGGAAAGTTAGCTAATTTGCATAGGACCTCTGATATCATCATTTTGATACGATCCCAAGAAGTCTTTTAACATTGGAATTTTGGGCTTACCAAGTGTTGCACGCATCTTCGTGATCTCGTCGATCCTGTTTGTTGTAATTCTGTCCTTTATACAGGCAAGTAGCTAAATTATGTAGAACAATGAATAAAGCAAATTGATTAATACTAATAATAATACTACTGGTGGTACCAGTGGTGGAATGGCGGATGCTCCCCCTACTAGTTGAAAAGACTAAAACACAATTCGTCGAAGGGAACACAATTATATGTATTTTTTAAATATTAGCACACTCTAGAATCGATTAAATAAGCCCTTGAAGCCCCCTACTCAAAGTTTCTGGGGACTTCGTCCCCTGAACCACTTCCAAGAGATTTTGAGTGCGCTCACTTACGCCCACTGTCGTGGAAATCATTTACTCTGAAACAGGGTAGGCCTGATCGAAGTTTTGTCTACCATTTTCAAATTTGTTTAAATCCGTCAAAAATATGTTTTCAGGTGTCGGTATTTTTTTTAAATAAAATGCTAGTCAAATTTAGTTGGCAATAAAATTTAAAGACAGTAAATTTCTTATTTCTTTCATAAATTGTTGAAATTTATAATTATTGACAGCTTTTCAAGAGTAGGTATATTAATAATTAAAAAATATGGTGTAGGCCTATTAATTTACTTTCGCAATTCATTTGATTCCCTTGGTCATCGAAAAATTCTGCTTTGCATTCCCCGCAGTAGTTTACTTGACACTCAGCAGTTGGGTATTTGGCGCAAGTCATGACGGTGCAAGGGTCTATCACGCACGTCACCATGTCTCCAAATGGGCAGTCATGACAGTCAACCATATTGCCATCTTCATCGTAGAATTCTGCGATACATCCGCAGTAGTTAGACGCGCAGTGAGCATTGGGGTTCTTCGGACACCTAGCCACATGACATGGGTCAAAGAAGCAGGTATCTGGAGGTGTTCCGTCTGAACACACAGTCTCCTTGACTGAAAACAAATTAAATTAATGTGTTATTATCATTTCATTTTCATAACAGTTATCACCGTTAACCTGCTCCATATATTTATCATTCATACCGCCATTCGACTTATCCACACCATCACCATAATCGTCATCATCGTCAACGACATAAAGTTATGATTATATCTACCAGCACAACGACTTCCAATACCATCATCATCATCATATCATTATTATTATCATCATCATCGCCGTCGTTTTCACCTTCATCATCCAATCCAATCCAATCAGAACATTTGTAAAGCGCCTTTCTTTGCCGATACGAAGCGCTGCACCCCACATATTTAGGCACATCATAACCCACAAGCAGCCGTGATCATTGCCATCATTATTAACATCATTAGCATCTCCACCACCAACAACAGCAAACATTAGCAACATTATTATCAACATCATCCTCATTTAAAAGCCTTATCATCTTCATCATCATTATTGTCATTTACAAGCTTTATCAACATATTTGTCATTGGCGGCCATTATCATCAATATTATATAATCATCATAATCATTATCTTCATCAATGGGACGATTAATATGACTATATCATCACCGAGGTTATCATCATCAACAGCAAGCAGCATCGTCGCCATAACTATTATTATCATTATCAACGAACAATATCATCATTTATTCATTCCGGTAATCATCATCGGCATAATAACCTAATGGCGATAGATACATCTTACTGCCTCACTAAAATCAAGGAAAATTACGATGCATACAAATAATTAACATTCGTACCGGCGATCTCACAGAACTTTCCAGTAAAACCAGGAACGCATGAACAATCGGCAGCTTCTTGAAATTCCATACAGCTTCCAAAATTCTTACAAGGTGATTCAGCACAAACGGCTATTTGAAAAAAGAAAATAATGTCTTAGAAAAATTGAGCAATAAGCTGATTAGAGGGTGGGGGCAGGCTTCTGGAGCAGAATGTGTAAAAACCATGACAAAGACCCCCATAAACCGTCAAAACGATGAATTTGGCGAGGCCTTACACCACCTCAGAGTTCTAACACAGACCCGGACCGGACCCAACCCCCTTAGTAGGGCCCGAATAACCCTCAGATGCCTCAATGTCACCATGAATGTTTAGAAAGAGTTTTCTATCCAGTAGTGGATCCAGGATTATATTTTGCTGGGGTACGAAGGCGAATGGAAATCGAGGAACTATGGTCTGAATGGGGTCTATGGTCCAAGTGGATGGATTAAAGGTATTTCATACCTACTGTGGATACTAGGTGTAGGCAGCGTAGGCTCTTGGAGTTTTAGCCATTTTAATGTTTTATCACACTTGGTAAGAACGTTTTTGGCTTCCTACTACTTCTGAATCTGGTTGGCGGACAATTATTATTACCTCATGATTCTTTTGCTCGTTCTTGCCTACTTTTATAATTTTTAGACGTTTGAATTCACTTATGAGATGAGATTTAATGTAAGCATTTAGTTGTATTAGTTTTGACAAGCAGTTTAAAAAAGAATTATTACCAACCTGCATCATGGAATTGACAGTTATCCCCGGATGTACCTGGAGGGCAAGTACAGATGTAGGTTTCACCATGGAAGGGGCGACAAGTTCCGCCATTCAGACATGGTATACCGCTACATGGTGCTGTCATCAGACAACGAAATTATCAATTATAAATAATCATTAAATATGAAATAGCATTATTTGATATAGTACGTTTGGTCAGTATAATGTACTGTAGCACATTTTTTAAAGTTTATAAATAGTCTGCTGAATACAGAATCAATCACGCACCAAGTACCACTTCCTCCGCAGATTTAAGAGTAATGCATATTGCTAGTTTTGCTAATCTAGCACAGGTTCAATTTCTTCTTCCATTCTAGTACAGATCACCTGTCGGTGTATTTTCGTACTGGATGAGGGCAGGGGCTGTGAGAAGGACCAGTACACCGTGGTAACCCCCTACTCGTCTCGAAAAATGTACTAGGTTCTTTCTAGTGCAGATAAGCCAATTGTGTACACTAGGCCTACGGTTTATAGACCTTATCCGAGAAGACTTGCTCCACCTCCACAGCCATAGGCGAGCGTGCCGTTCGAACCAGTGCCGATGACTGCAGGTTGCGGGTCCGTGCCTTAACTACTCGGCCATTAGGGCCTCCAATTTCATTCAACATGACTGGTACCCAGAGGGTAATCCTTGGTGAAGAAGGTCAATATATTTGGTCTTACGAAAGAGCACAATGACCATCGTCGGTATGAAACTGACTAGGTATACATCTCGATCAAAAGCATTAGGATTACAGCTGTGCCCTGCCTTTATAAAAGTTTTCTTTTTTACTTGTTACATTTTTACAAAATCCTGTACTATCCTGTAATACATTATCTATGCATATTTCATCCTTTAACCATGCTAATAATGTAAATATGATGTTCATGCCTTGTTTGGTCAGTGAAAAACTTACCGTATTCGCAAAATTCTCCTGCCACTTCCTTAGGACAAAAACAAACACTATAGTCATATTCTTCGTACCTCACGCATGTCCCTCCGTTGCTACAAAGATTATGGTCACACCTGATGTCTGTTTTCAAAGATAAAGTACAAAAGATAAAGTAGACAGGTTATATTTAACCGTGATACCGTAAATCCTTTAAAAGAAGCCGCATGGGCTTAATCTCAGAATGAAGCCCATCTTGAAATGAAGCCCCCGCCCACTCTTTAGTTTGCGAAATAGTCTCAAAAAGAGGTCCATGGATAGTATGGGCTATTTTTCGAGATACTACAGTAAGCCAGAATAGATTTATGTACTACTGAATTTTAATACTTTTTTTTTTAAAGCAAACTTTGACTTTGGACTTCAAAGAAGGCCTGGTGTCGTAATAATCTTGACTTTATTGCATGATTTTTATCGTTTTAATCCATGTTTCGTTGATTTAATTGACGGATACAGTATTATATTACTGCTTAGTAAATTTAATGTCTTCGGATATTTTGTATTTGTTGCTTTATGTTATTCGCCTTGAGATTTAAAACAAATCATATGATGGCTATAAAAATTGTTTTAGTTTTGTTTGATTTCTTTTTTAATGTGGCTTGTACACTCTATTTATTTTTTTCAGGATAACAGGGGAGGCTTTCTGATTTCTCTAATTCTTAAAAACTGAAATAATGAATATCAATAACAATAACCACCCATGTATAAATATTCAACTCATGTAGGCCTATATAAATGTATATATTATTGTTTTAACCATTTAAATTGTTGTGTACTATATATTTATAATAGTGTATAATTGTGTGTTTAAAATGTACACTTCTGTTTTGATATGAGCGTTTGTGTCCGTACAAGTTTTCGAGAGGACAGATAAATTCTGAATCTGAATCTTACCTTTTTCGCAGGTAGTGCCATCAAAGCCAGGAAGGCATTCACAGTAAAACGGAAAGTACTGGTAGTAGTAGCCGATATTTTCACACGTGCCACCGTTTAAACAAGGGTTACATTCGCACGGGTCCTCATAAAAAGTACTATCCTGTTTAGAGACCATTGGTGGCCAATCTGTAGTATCCGATGAATAATACCCAGTAACCCGTGACTCAGAATATTCCAAAGGACTGAAAGTCCAATTCGAGCTATATTGACGCTCTAGGAGAAACACATCAACATCTTCTTTATTGTGTTTTAATCGAATATTTTCCTTTTAATTTTCAGCGTTACCAGCACAATTATAAATACCATAGTCATCATCACCATCCCACAATCATCTTCATTATGATGATTATTAACATAATCGCTAAAAACATCGTCATCATCCTCTTTTTCATCATCGTTATGATCATCACCTTCATTATCATCGTTGTCGTCATTATCATCCAACATGATGACAGTTTGGAGTAATCATTATCATTCTCATCACCATCACCGTCATCATCATTCTTGAATGTTATGTCTGTACAGTTGATTATTGATTGATCGAATGAATGAATGAACATGATTATTAACTTTAACTTCATCATCATTATCATCCTCATCATAATTATAATCCTCATTATCATTATTGTTATCATCATTATCATCATTATCACCAATTATCATTATTATTATTATTGTATTTATTCTATATCGAATTCAAGAACCTTAACCAACTGGAGATCCTACCGTGAAAGGAAATTGACTTACAGCAGCATATCATATCATACCATTTATTTCGCTATTTCAAATTTACAAAGGAATATAAAAATACAAAACGACTCAGTAGTAGGCCTACCTGGTAACATTGATGGCAACATTGAATGAACAATGGCAGCAACTAAAACCTATTATTACTATAAATAATGTCATGTCTAGGGGGCGCACGTCCACAATAAAATCACATGCTCAAGTTAAAAAATACCAAATTTTGTGAACTTCACCTCTTCTAGCCCCTCAAGTTTACCTTTGCGCCTCCATCAGCGCCTCCATCTGCGCCTCCATCAGTCCCTTCACCGATTTCAAGGTTGAGTCCAAGCCACTGTTATATAGGCCTACTATTACCATGCTATTACCAAACAAGCGTTACAAGTATTTAATTACACATGAATCAACTAAAACACTATACTGCACAAACTTATTTTATTTAATACCTACCTTCATCGCAATAATCTCCACCGAAACCAGGAAGGCAGATACACATCCAATAAGAAAGTCCCAAACAACTTCCACCATTTTGACACGGATTGGGGTCACACAAATCTAAGAAAATTAAACCACCATCATTCTTTAATATGTAAAATCTCTTTATTGTGTAAATGTGTAAATCTGCACATTGTGAAATGATAAAATGTTCATTTAGGCAAACAATTTGTGTCCTCGTTTACAGAGGGAAACTTAACTTTTAAATATGGATGCATTTTGAGAAGTGTACGCGAATGTAACACGTTTGAATATGTCATCAGTTTAAAAAGTCTCATGAAATTTTTTAGTCCTTAGAGGTCGACTTTACCCACCAGAACCAGAGCTATTGTGAGTCACAGAGTTTGGAACGTATTATGATTTAAGATAGCGTATGTTAATTACCTACGTTTCAAACGTTGTTATATGCACGTAAAATTCCCCATAAAAATTAATAATGAAATTACAATTATATAGTGCTCAATGTTAAAAGATTCTATCGCTTTATACAAAATAACAAATCTTTGAAGGTCATGAAAGACTGGCACAACAACAATGGGAACTTTTAAAGGGACACCATCCATCGTCACTATAGCATATTCCCGGACATCTCCTTGGGATATTAAATAGACTAGACCAACAACAGAATTACAGTGTATGTTGAAACTTGTACAAAAGTAACTGGAACCAAGTCAGAAGATTGAATTTTTAAGTTGTAGGATAGGATAGGGGTATTTTTGAGTGTAAATCACACCAATGATAACTCATTAAAAGCCTGAAGACTTGTTTCCAGCGGGGTCCTTCTGGTGGTAAATTGGGCAGCACACCGGGAGACAATCCTCTACTTTTTCCCGAAGAGTACTGTACTGCGTTCTTTAACATGCACTTTGGCAATATTGCACACGGGACAAACGACTTAAACATCTCAAACGAAAGGGCTATACGTACCTTCCTCACAAAAGGCGCCTCCATATCCAGAACTGCAAAGACAAGGAGCATCAGAAGTACTATTAAAATAGCTTGAATACCCAATACAGTAGCCGCCGTTCATACACGGTTCCGAAACACAGATATCCTCTAAAACAAAATTGAACAATTTAGGAAGCATTATACCATGGGGAAACCAAGCTACACAGAGGGGGTTATATTATAAATATAATACACTTTTAAAGTTGGAGTTGAGTTGCATATGTTTTACGCAGGGGAGCAGGGAGCACGTGCCCCCTCCCTGTTTAGCTACTAAATTTTAAAATTTTTAAAAATTCTGTATCTACCCTGGTTTTACGTTGTTATGCGTACTGGTATCTAATAATAGGCCTAAGTGAGGCTTCGCAGAGTTAAATCCCGGAGTAGATCTATGTGTTTAATTTGCGTTAAAAAAAACCCGTTCAACTTTAACCAACGGCAACCAGGCGAAAAGGTCATCTCCTAGTTATACTGGCATATAACACATGACATATGCATCTGCACACCATTTGTATTTGAGAAAGTTTTATTTATCAACAGATTTTGCAGGCAGGATTCAGTGTGAATGTGCTATATACTGTTAAAGTAGTAGTTAACGCTTTTAAAAATTAGGTGTTCTAGAAGGCGAATTATGATAAAACTACCTTCTTCACAATTGTCTCCGGAATAGCCGTATGGACAGTAACATAGTAGGGTTTCATATCCTAAGCAAGTACCTCCATTTTGACATGGATTCGGGGAACACAAATCTAAACAATGGAGATAAAGAGTTTAAGCATTAAGCATTAATTAAACTCGAATTACAAAGACTGCTCTAGAGAAAGTCACTGGTAAATATAGTCAAAACGACGTTTGTATGTATAGTAATAACATGGAAGAAAAACATGATATAACTTTTCCTCTGTGAACATAAACATAAACGACTAGGTGTTTGATCTGCTTTTTTTATGACTGTCTAGCAAATAGTGTAAAGAAAGTAAAGATATTTATCAGTACTACAAACGTATTAAAAACGTCTAAAACCTAACTGACTCAAACAAAACGACAGTGTTACAACATACGCGTTTGTGGGACAACAATGTGCCCGTTAGACACGTCACGCGCGTATTCTTGACCCTCTGGTTGGTCAGTTGCAGGCAGTTGTTAAATGTAATTGCCAGGCCGGAGAGGTCCAATATACCTACCAGTTTCGCAAAAATCGCCTCCAAATCCTGGAAGGCAATAACAGTACAAATCACCAGCGTCATCAGTAGAGTTAAAAACATCTCCATAAGGACCGAAGCCATGTACTATACAGCTGCCGCCGTTCATGCATAGACTCGAAGCGCAGGGGTCGTCTGTAAATCAAAATTCAGAAGTAAATGTTAATGTTATAATAGTAATTAATGTATGTTTATTGTTGAATAAATATTATGTAGGCCTATAATAATAGACTTTTTCACTCTTTCAAGTGTACGTCAATGAGAGAGTTAATAGTTCCCTGTCTAGTTAAAGGAGACTTAAGTACATACGAATCACATGATTCCATAGCAATATTCTCAACCCTGATTGTACCAATTACCAATATTATTTTTTATCTTGATTGTTCACCATACCATAAGTCTCAATAATATGCAATAACAATTTTATATCAAGACAAAACGATTAAGAAAATAATCAGCTGGTAACCATTAAGATTAAACGGTCAACATAAATAACAAAAAGCAGGGGTGAAATAGGCGATCCATGTTTAACGCCAACACATGATGTATTATAGGCCAAGTAAAAAAAAGTAGTTTCTCATTCTAATATTTTGAAAAAAGGAGAATGCGGGCACCTTTTTTCTTCTTTTTTTTTTCAATCTAAGATGGCAAATCCAAGATTGTCAATGGGAAACAGCAAATAAAAAAGCACTAGACATGATACCATATGTATTCCCGACCACGAACGATCGAGAGAGGAATTTTACTAGTGTGAGTTAGCCAGATTTTCGTACCATTTCGTAAAACAAAGGAAATTTTAAAATTTTAAAAATTTACAGATGTGAAAAAAATAAAATGGATGCGCGAGGGTACGAGAAATCAGTATTTTTCTTTTATTTTGCCTTAAGTTACATAACATTTTGATCATTTCATATCCCCATTCTAATTCATGTAAAAAATCTAAAATTGCGTTTGTATTATATCATACTCCTTCCGTTAAATACAAAGATGAAAAGGATTCTAATCGATACTGGCACTTGAATGTTTACCACATACGGTAGCCTATATATTATACACACACTGGAACACTGCATATATGCCTATATAGAATATATACATACATACATAACACACACATACACACATCATATATAGGCCCATATATTTATATACATACATACATATATATATATATATATATAAATATATATATATATATATATATATAAACTGCAAATATTTGCAATATACATCTAGGCCTATGCTGTTTTAATTAGACTTTAAGTGCTGTTTTGAGTCATTTCTATTGTAACCCTGAAAAGGGGAGCAGGTGCTCCCTCCCGAAAATTTGGTTTTTCAATAAAATCTATGCTTCAAAGTAGTCACCTTGTGAACAATGTTATTTCTTTTCTGCCTACTTGTTATATATACCTACTTAGTATACATTCATATAGGCCTATATATCAAAGTAAGGTAAATACAGTGTTAGAATAAAAGACATAATAACACATAGCTCTCAACGAATGTTGTCCTATAAATAAATGAATAAAAAAATTCTGTAATAAAATGCCTCTGCGACCTCTCGCTGTCAAGGCGAGCGTCATACCCAATAAACCACAGAAGCTTCATGGTTGAACAGATTACAACAAATTACCGCCAGATACACTCTATTACACAATAAGTACGGCTGGAAACAAATAGTTGCATATAATATAAATCAAAACAGCTGTTAACACTGTTAAATTATAATTTTTATTTATTTATTTACTAATATCTTTAGCCAGGATGACACAATCATTTTAAAGAAATGTTTTTCATTGTGGTCCTGGAAAAAAAAAAAAATAATATTATTAATAATAATGATAATAACAATCATAATAACAATAATAATAAACTACAACAAAAAAATAATAATGATAAACAAAACACAAAAGAACACACCCAGAGTCAGGCATTAATAATCATAATCATCATTTCGATACCCTTTTCCTCCCCAATTCCACTTTTTTTTTTCTTTCCTTTTCATTCTTTTTTTTCCTCTATTTCCTCTTCAGAAATCACGAAAATGGCATACGCGCGCCCCCGCTTTTGAGATGTCGCCGCCATCACTACCGTGTACACGCAGGTACCTCGGCGTCAGTTTGCTGGGCTCCGGTAGCTTCCACCGGGAATAAGCCTGCGGCTCCCCTACCGTGCACTGCTAAGTCGACGGCGCCACCTCAAATAAGGCTGTCTCTTATTTAACAGCAAAATCGTTAACCCCCGTATATTACCAACCAACGGGTCTCAACTTTAAAATGCAATTACGTATATACAAATGGTCCCTCTATTCCGCAGATTTTTAGTGTCCACACACCATTTAATTTAGAAGCGAAGAAAATGCTAATATAGAAAATTGTTAGGCCTACTTACTTTCGTCGCAATGAAATCCACCAAAACCATATGTACATAAACATGGTAACCAATCAATTCCTGTACAAGTACCGCCGTTTTGACAAGGATTTGGGTCACACACAGCTGAAAGCGATTCAATTCAATTTTATTACCTCATCAGCCACCAAGATCTATTATCCGCCAAGCACACAATGCCAATGAATACAATACAACAACAACAAATACTATTACAAGAGGTACTTAAATAAAATAGGACGAGCGGCTCTGATGTTAGAAGGAGAGGATGCGGCGGGATCGACAGCGAGGAAGTATCGATCGACAGCGAGAAGCTTGAGCAAGAAGAGAATTACGTAACGTGATGGAGGAAGACCAGTATGAACAGTTTCAATACTTTGGGTAACGTAGAATAGAACAAAGGGACTTTTAACTGTCCCGTTGTAGGGTGGCGTTGTACTATGACTACTGCCAGAGCCTGCAAGTCACTTCATTCGGCCAAATGCCCTAACTACCCAACCTAAGCCCAAAAAACCCATTCGTAGTTTGAACTGGGCATGCCCATATTAAGGCAATTTACATAAACGTACATGCGCTGTTCAACCTACGAATTGGTTTATTATTACAGCTTACCGAAGAGCGCTATAGCTCATAACGTCAATGGAGATCTAGACTTAAACAACAAATAAATAAATAAATAAACTGAATCAAATTTATAAACTAACTGAATCAAATTTATAACTAGAAAATAACACATAATATGATCAGTAATACTGTAGACATATGCATATAACCGTTATACATAGATTATATTTTTGTTTTAAAAGACTGCAAAAGAGACTAAAATTATCATTATGTATACCTTTTTCACAAAAAGAACCAGCGAATCCGAAATCACAATAACAGGGATAATAATCATAACCAGTACATTTTCCTCCATTCTGACAGATACTTGCATCACAACTCTCTAACAGAAAAAATGTTTATGAAGATAAGATTTACAAACTTAAAATGTGTTACTGTCTGAGTCATTAACATATGTGGTGCAATAAGTTCAATATGACATCGTTATGCCCATATATGGGCACATCAAAACTTTGCCGTGGAAGGCGCTATATAAATATAAAACCATAAACCATAAATTAGTGTGGACAGAACTTATTATAATATAACTTTATGTTACACACATATATATATATATAACAAATAATGTACAGTATTACCGTTACAAAACGGGCCTGTATATCCCAATACGCATTCACATGGATATCCCGGGTTACCAGTACAAGTTCCTCCATTCGAGCATGGGTTGACAGCCACGTGGCAACGATCTTTTAGAAGAAAAAAAACAGTTACGTTTAAGAATTAATATCATGGGCAACATTGTAACTACATAATTATTTAGTTACTTATGTGATCCCCCTCTTCTACATCGTATAGCCGAAAGTACCTGGGCCTTCAAAATAATAATAATAATAATAATAATAATAATAATAATAATAATAATAATAATAATAATAATAATGTCCCTATTTGAGCACTCTTTTAGTTATTATTTATTTATTTGTTTATAAAGTATTTACGGTGCTATGCATCAAACCTAATTTGAATATATTGAAATTTATGAAAACGGTATTGTTACAACTTTAGACATGCGTTCTAAGAGGCTAAGTTATGAGTTCCAGCACTTTCTTGTTTTTTCTATTGTTATTTATTAAGCTGGGAATTTTCAGTACAGTGTGCTGTCCTCTGATAGGTTCCTTCTTTCCAAGTAAATTGTCAAATATCGATAATATAGACTTCTCACCAGCGACTAGGTCTTCGCAGTAGATTCCTGCGTAACCATCTGTGCAGTGACACTGGTAAATCCAGAGCTCTCTAAATGAGCCTTCACAAGTCCCGCCGTTCTTACATGGTTTATCTTCACAAATTATTGAATCTGAAAAATGTATAGCTCGTTTAATAATGGTTGTTCAATAATAATAATAATATTGATATTAATGATATGGTAATATTAATGAAGAAAGGAATAGCTTAACATTCAAATGAAATAAATAATAGGGGAATTTCCCAACCTTACGATAAGGACAACGTATACGAACACGTCATTATCATTATCGTCATTCGTGCCTAAAAAATCTTGACAACAATGCTGTACAAGCAGAATATGATCCTTGATTCATACAAAAGTTATGAATCAGGCTGTATCCGGGGGAGGGGGTTTATGGTTCGGAAGAACCCCCTTTTCTAGCAAACCCCCTATTTTCTGGCGAAACCCCCTCTTTAAATTTCCCAAATAAGTCCTCCAACCTAACTAATGCACTGCAGACCCACCCAGACACAGACATTTTCAAACATATCTGATAGCAACATCTAGATGTGTATAAGAGACAGACCATGCAAAGACCAAGGTGCTTTCCAGAACTGTGTACGTGGTCCGGTACGCATTGTAAGCACCTAACCTGTCTCTTATACACATCTAGATGTGTATAAGAGACAGACGTTGTGACAGATATGCTACTGTAGAGGAAGGTTCGTCTAAAATAAAACATATCCATATTCTTCATTATCACTTTCGTAAGCTTGCGGAAATGTCTATTATCTCCGAATGACGACTGAAGCAACTTAATTAAAAGTCGAGACATTCTTAACAAAGACCATGCAAAGACCAAGGTGCTTTCCAGAACTGTGTACGTGGTGCAGTACGCATTGTAAGCACCTAACACATTAATACAATCAATATATGACCATCATATTAATATTTTTATGTAATATGCAACGGGTTTACTAAACACAATTTCTGTAGTAAGTCTAATAAACAGCGGAAACGAAAACCCTAACACAAAACAACTTCAAAAAGTATCAGGTTTCACCTTCTGGTATAGATTCCAAACAGACTTTTGTTCCATATAAATCATAGCAACACTTTTCATTTGGTGCACAGTGGTCATCTATCTGGCATTCTGTTTCATGGGTGTATACAAGACCATCGTTGGCCAAAAAGGGACACATTCCTTCGTGATCTAAAGGAGAAAAATTAATCTTTTAGTTTGATTACCTCCGCCAAGAAGGTTATGCATTCGCTGCTGTCTGTCTATATTGACACTGTCATATTAACTCTCAATTATGTTCTTTTCACTTAAAAACGGTTCTTTCTCGTCAGTAAAACAAGGCCCCTAGACACAGGCCTAGCTCCCCCACCCCCGTTATTCAACCCCCGGCCAGAGGGCCAAATCCGGCCCGCCCAAGATTTTGATCCGGCCTGCGCAACATTGCTAAAAATAAATTATTTTATGGCCCACTTTTAGAAAACGTTTTTCTGTTTAAACACAACCTAAGCCTAGGCATACCCCTACTCTAACATTGTCTACAAGAGGTGGTTTTTTTTCTTAGTGTAGCTCACTGTATCTAGTAGCGTAGGGTATTGACATGGGGAAGGGGAGGCTAATGGATTAAATCGGGTGCTGATGTGATGCGATGTCTACTATTTTGCGGCGCCAACAGGCCGGGGACATGTATTCTGTTGAAAACACTGCTTTGAAAACTAATTTTTTGAAAGTGCCATTTCCAGAAATCAGGTACTAGAGGTATCTTACGTTAACAATTTGCTCACCTCAACCCCAACCACTGGTGAGTGGATATTTTTGTGGTAGGATAATTTCTAGTGGCAGGGTAGGAGAACCCGGAGTGCAATTTTTTTTTTTCTTTTTTCAATATTCTAAAATAAAATTGAGAAGAGAAGAAAATTATATTCAAATTTAAGTCTGAGAGTGCCCTTTCCGACCATCTAGAGGTGCCATAATCATAAATTTGTTTAGCTCAGCCCCAGCCATGGTGGGGCTGAAGTGGGTAGTTTTTTTTCCCTGGCCCATTCTGTTTCGAATCCACCACTATAAAAGAAAATGGGTGGGGCTAACATAGACAAAATGGAAGTACACAATTTATGTCGGCCCACTGCTGGCCTCAACTGATTGCAACTGGCCCCCAGCTTAAAAAGGTTAAATATTCGGGGCCTTTTGGCTAAATTGACCTAGGTCAAATTAGGCCGCTATTTATTTTGCAGATAAAAATCTACCCCACACAGAACGGTTCTTTTGTTCAAAGAACAGTTCTTTGGCGTTCCCGGTGCGGTAGAAATTCCGTGCCAAAGAACCGTTCTTTGGGACGCCAAAAAAAGAACAGTTCTGTTTTTGTGGACCCGTTTCTACTGCCACAAAGACCCGTTCTTAAAAAGAATGGTTCTTTCTCGTCAGTGTAGAAACATGCCCTAAGAGAGACCATGTCAGATTCCGGGAATACAATAAATATAGTCACATCATAACTATATAATATGGGCAGCACATGCAAGAGTTTGTTATCAAATAAAATTTGAGAGTCTAGACAGAGTTTTAAATTAACTGGTCATCATTTGACAGATTTTGTAGTAAAATGTCTGAAAATTGGCGAAAACTTTTTTTTTTCGAACTTTTCTAATTGAAAGTAAAAATATATTTGATTTTTTTTTTTTAAATTGACTACCGGTATTCAAAAATTTAATTAGTGAGGTTTTCCCAGGTTGTCTATAATTTTAGCAAACAGTACAGCTTTAACTGTCTAGACGTTTCTTTAACATTAATACCTAATGCCACTGCTACCATGCAACTCGATCCACAACCTGTCGAGCAACACCTTGCAGTTGAGTTACAGTCATAGTCGTGGGAACAATCAAAATCACATGAAGTTGGCGAATAAGTTGTAGTAGTAGTAGTAGTAGTAGTAGTAGGGACACTGGGACATTCTCCGGGATGGGTGAAATCTTCAACTGAAATGTGGAAATATATAAATCTCTATATTGCAAATTTTCTTTTAATATTCGTACTTGTATGTCTTCGTTTGTAGATCTATGTAAATCTACAATTGGAATCGTGGGTAGGAAACCAAGACATTTTATTTATTTATTTTTATTTATTATAAGTTCGGGATATTAAGTACGAAAAAAGACAGGTTAGCGGTATGCCAAGAGAGAATATTAAGAGCCCAACACCAGAGTAGATTCTCTCTCTAAACCGCTAACCTGAAGGAAAAAAAAGACAATGAAAAACAAGAAATATTTAAAAAAATATAGTTTATAATAATTTTTTATATTAAATTTAGAAAATCATCTGGGATGAGTGTGATGTCCAGATAAAATGAGAAAATACTTTAATAAATATTCTCGTTATAGTAAAATTTTTTTTGTTTTGTTTTGTTTTTGCAATTCTTGAATCAGGGACAACAACAATATAAATAGTGATGATACTTTGTTTACGTACTACAAACAGGGCAGCATTCGGATTTAACATACACTGGGTCATAACAATCAGCCAGCGGGCATATTGGCGTTCTACAAACAACTGATCCGTTTGTACAAAAGCAGCTGCCACAGCCAGCATGAAATATTTGACCTTCTGCATGCCAGTCGTCTTCGAAGTAACAGGATGATGGATTATTTTCTATATTTATTTTTAAAAAAAGAAGAAAATAATGATAATCACATTTCTGTTCAAGAGAACAACTGAAATTGACATTAATGTGATCCACCAATCAATCGCATATCACTTCACATTAAAAGATAGTTTTTAAACGTTTCTTAAAATGCCCAGCATTGCCCTAATTTACGTTTCTGACAGGGACGTGAAGTTTCTTACCCCAAAATGTTTATTAAACCACCACCTGGCTGTCAAGAGATGAAATACATGAAAAGCACTAACAATTCAAATAAGTTAAAAGATGTAATAATATAAAATACATAATTAAACAATATTGATAATTTTTGAGTCAAAGATATAACTAAACGAAATAACAAATCAGTAGAACAATTATTTTATTGGAAATTGCGGTACAATAGATTTTTAAACACCATCGGCTGATAATAAATTTAAAAAAAATATTAAAAAAAGAAAGTAGAAACGAAATAGCACTAATAAAGGTGGAAATTAATTTTGAGGTAGTATTTAAGGATATATAAGCGTGTAGTACATTTCTGTCCTTTTGGAATTGTCTCAACTATGTACTTCTGAGCTGTCTAAGAAAATAGGTTGTATCTAAATACGTTTAGCTTTTAAACGTGGCAAAAATGTGTGCTGCTTTGTCTTTAAACCCTCCACTCTTTATTTGTAGTGTATCTCATGTAGTTAACTTCTACAGTATATTGGTGTTCTTCAGAAAAAAATATCTGCAATATGGGGCATTTATTGGTGTTAAGATTAAATTTGTTGATTTTGCCCATTTGATTCCATGCTTTTATGTAGATACTATAGGCATTCGTGGTGTACCGTACTGCAAGCATTTAATACATCATTACTTCGCTATGTAAAAAAATAAGATTTTACTTGTCATAATATGTTCTGTTTCTTCCATTAGTAACCACCAACTGTCTATTCTATACCATATCGATCCAATTTTACTGAATCTAACAACCACAATATCACTAATCAGGGGAGGATCTAGAACTTTTCAAACGGTGGGGCGGGGGTGCACAACAGTTTCAAATTAGATAAGTGAGTAGGACATAACATTGATATGCATAAAAATGTTAAAAATTTCGTGGCAAAACGGGGGTGAGGCACGTTCCCAACGTGCCCCTATTGGATTCTCCCTTGTTAATCAATACAGTATTATATATCATGTAGATTATTTAAATGGTGTAATTTACGTTCTTGTGGTAAACGACAGACATCCGCACATCCATTACTACAACATTTTTCTAATCCCGGACACTCCGTATCAAGCCTGCATTCGGTAACACAAGTTCCAACTTCACCGTTTTGATCTGGACAAGTCCCAGGTTTCTCTTCATCTGTATTAACAATGACATTAAAAATGGTTAAAGACATTTAAAAAGTAAACTAAAACAGTTTAAGTCGTGTTAACTACTATATTCTCATTTGTTAGGTACATTTAAAGGAACTGGCAAATTTACGTTAATCGTCACACCAAATCCGAATTTTCGGACTGAAGGTTTAGGCCTACCGAACCGATCAGAAAATCGAATGAGGAAACGCGGAAATTTCGTTTGGATGTGATGTGAATGCGGATAACATGAGCGTTTGGGGACAATTGCCTATTTCTTAAGCAGTTCTGTTTGCTTAAGAATTGCCCACACTATCTAATTCTATTTCACAAGTGACATGCATAAATAGGGCCATGATGACATCACATCATGACCATATTTTGTCATATATAAACACATCATATATGGACATACAGCAGCTTCTTGTCAAAGAACAATTTGATGTGGAAATAGTTTTAGTTGATAAGGTTGCCATCGACACCCCGCAAAGGCCGCATTCAATATTAATGGCAAACGTTCATACTCACCACACAAGGAACCATCGCAATGTACTTCTCCTTCTTTGCAAACGCTGAAAATACGAAAGTTATTATTACGCCTATATAGGTATACGCTGATTTTTATACTTTATGTATTTTTGTTCTAACAATAAGTATCAATGGTAATAAACCATAATATTATAATAAAGATTATATCCCACTGAATGAGCTAAATGCAGTGGCAGGTCCAGGAATTCGAAATAGAGAAGGTACAGTGAGGGACTTTTACCGACGAAGGATCTACAGTACCTCAGCCATACCATGGTTTGGGTTGAGGTAAGGAAATTTATGATTTTGAAAATTCTAGGTGTGGCAGAAAATTCCACTCTCAGACCTACATTTAATTACGATATTCCCATATTCCCCATTTAAAAAAAAAATTATAATATTTAAATTAAAATTTAGTATAAACTGCACCAATTTAAAATTTATCAAAGGCACTAAGTGGAAATAATTTAATAATGAAATTAATAATTCCTGAAATAAGAACGTTTCTAAATACTAATTAGGTTCAACGCATAGGCCTACACGAAGACGCACAGAAGTTCACTTGAACATTATATTAGATATCAGAACTATACAATTACGTCAAAGTTACAACCAAATCAATATATAGGCCTATGTTCCTTTTTTTTTAAGAACTGATGTTTTAGAAATTCTTTATTTTGTTAGATTTTTTCGCCTTTGAAATTCAGTCCCTGTGTCCGTAGGCCTATAAGAGACTAAATTCTTTTTTTAATCCAGTGATAGATACAGGAACTCCAAATAGAGGGGGCCCAGGGGAGGAGATTAACAGATCGAAGGGTTTTATACCACTTTAACCCCACCATGGTTGGGTCTGAGGTTCGAAAATACGATTATGACCGTGAATTACACTTTCAGACTGGGCCCTCCCTTAAATCAGCCACTGAGATCCATGGTTTTAAAGAAAAATTAAAGGTTCATCCATCTGGATTCTTGATGTTTTCTAATTAAATCTCTGTAATTTCTATTTTAAAATCGAAGTACAGTTTGGAGAGTCTGTCTCTTGACAAAGCAGGCCTGAGATTTCGATCTTTTACTCGTTTTTATTTGTGCCTGAAAATATCTAATATAATAAATAAATTAAATATAAATATACAATAATTACCAAAAATTACAGGTTTCGTGAAACGATTCTCCGTCCCGAAGTTGTGTTCCAAGGTATGTACAATTTAATCTAGCTACAATGTAAAAGATAGATATACATTTTACACTACACAACCTA